CTCCCTGACAAATGCTTGAGGTTATATTTACATATACACACATACACAAAATTCTATCATACTTTTTCCTGAAGACTTAATTATTTAATGATGCATTAAATACACTCAAGGGGACACTCATGAGAAGGAGATAAATAGAAGGAGGGAAGGGAAAAGAGATTTTTTCAATTATATAAAAGAGGGGCTTTGTGAAGCTGTCAAATAACTAGGCCAGAAAATGAAGAGGGAGGTTAATTCAGCTATGTGAGGCTAAAGATGGATAATGACCCCAAAAGTGCACATGCTGTTGTTTAAATATAGCTTGTCCCCCAAAGTGTCTTGTGCTGGAAGCCTGGGTCCTCAGTGTGATAATAGCAGTGTGGCCTTTAAGGCATGATAATTAAATCTTTAGAAGGGATCAATGCTTTTCTTGAGGATGTTAATTGAGTCTCCTGGGAGTGTGTTCTTGCTCTTACAGGACTGAATTAGTTACCATGAGAATGGGAGGTTATAAAGCATGTTTGGATTCCTTTCTTATGACATCTCTCTGCTGCACATGCCCCTACCATGTGATGCCATCCTCTATCATACCCTCACCAGCTGAGCAGACGCACTTGAACCTCTAGAACTTTGAGTTGAATAAAATCTCTTTATTAAGTATTCAGCCTCAGATTTTTTTTTGTTAAACAACACAAAAGGGACCAAGAGCCACTGAGAACTTTCTAGAATTAAGAAAAACATAAGACTTCATATTGAGGGGCCCATGAATATATCCCAAGCCTTTGCTGATCTGGCCCATCCGGCTCTCATTCATCTCTCCAGTCCAAAATCTGTTGACAGCCTCCTGCTATAATCCTAGCTTTTGTGCTTCAGCCATATTGATCCACTCCAGGTGCCCACAGGGCCCTATGCTCTTGCATTCTGGGCTTTGCACAGACTATTCCCTGTGCTCAGTCACCCTTTCTCAACAAGTCTCCACCCAGATGGCCTTTCTAACACCCAGACTGTATTAGAAACTCCCCCATTGCCACCTGGGACAGTACTTATTCATGAGATTCCAAATTTATTTTTTCCATCTCTTCCTGGTGATGGAGCAATGGCTTCTCATAGATATATCCCTGAAAATGCATACCATGACTAGTATAAGGCAGGTGCTCATTAAGAGGATGCCCATGTTGATAATTTCAGCCCAGCTCTCCCCTCCTGACCAACCTGAAACTCTCATGCTCCCACTGCCTGTTGGGCATCTCCATATTAATGTCTTACAGGTACCAAACACTCACCCAGTACCAATGTTAACTTGCTGTTCTCCTTATCACCCATCATCTAGCTCTGCTCTGGGATCCCCTAAATCCACTAATAAAGACCTCATGCATCCAGATCTCTGAGCCTCAAGACTGAGTTGCTCATAATACTTCTCTCTCCACTGCCTTCACCTGTAATCTGGCATCAAACCCGCCATTGATAATGAGAAATCAGTTTCCCTTTTTTTTTCTATATCCTTCCTAGGACCTCATGGGGGCACTGTGTGAATTTCTGCTCAAGTCCATTCTCTTTTCAGTCTAAATAGAACTTCTTAAAATGGAACTTCTTAAATGACCTGAAAGCCTACATTTCCTATTTCCGGGAGGATATAGGACACACTTTTAAAATCCAGCATACATGTGAGCCTTTCACAATTGAACTGTACTTACACTTGCAGACCCATCTCCATTTCCCATCACTCTACCCCACATACTCCCTATTTTGACCATAATTTTATCTGATCTCGAATAATCCAAATAAGTTTTTTTTTCAACTTCCTTCTTTTAAAGTTTTTCTTTGTTCTTTTTAGTTACACATGACAGTATAATCCATGTATTTTTGACTCTCTGTGATATGATTTTTCTACCAACAGATGTAACCTTTATTCCTAAGGGCTTCAGGTTCTCTCTAATAAGCTTTTCTTGAAGCACATGAGTGACCCCAGATTCAGTGTTCCTGCACTCAGTTGACCTCACCATAATGATTGCTATGCAGGACCACTACTGATTTCTCACAGGGCTGCAGCCACAGTCTACACTGGGAGACTCTCTGGGCAAGGAATTTGATTTTTTTTGTCACCTGTATATTTTTAACAATAGTGAGACTGGGTATCCAGGTGAGCCTGGGTATCCAGGTTTTATGATTGAACAAAATGAGTGAATAAATGAATGCCTGAGGGATATGCCTTAAAGTTTTTCTCAGAACACCTGTAAATAATCACCCCTGTCTTGATGTGTATGGTGACACAGAACCAGCAAGCGCAGCAAGGTCACAAGAAATCAAGAAGAATGTAAAGTTAAAGAGGGTTGGCTTATGGGCCTTATAATTTTTTACCTGTAAAGAAAAAGGTTTGCTTTGATCTATCCCATGAAACAATTATGATTCCCAAACAACTTCGACTTCCTTTTCTTTGTTTCTATGATGCAAAGTCCACCATTTTCTAGGGCTTAGGATGTAACCTAATGTGAGGTTAAAAAAATGTCAGAATACAAAGTGATCTGAGTCCCATTGGACTGCTGGAAGATCATACAAACTTTGTCAAAACAAATAATCTTGAATGATAGAAATTATATGTGAGTGATAAAATAATGAGAAAGAAACAGAAGTATATACTCAGTACCCTCTAAATTTTCTCAAATATAATAATAATGATAACAAAATAATCTAGCATTAAAATGCAAGTCTTGCAAAAAATCTCCACATATATCATTTATGTTGTTTTTGCCAAAAAAATAGTAATTATTTTGGATTTTACTGTCGTGTCTAACAATTATTATTTTCTTATGGAAATAGAACTTGAACCTCATAGAGATTAAGGAAGCCTGAGGACAAAGACACTAAATGAAAAACAGTTATCTGCAGATTGATAATCACTGATTGGGTCATAGGCCATTCTGTCCATGCCTTTGGAGTCTGACTTATTCTGGTGTTCATGGCACTCTCAAAACAAATCTCTGGCTATAGTGCATATCTGAGGCTGTATGTGTTCTGTACTCCACAATACTTCTAAGCAAAAGCAGTAGCAAAATTTTCAACACAGAAGGGGAATGGCATTTGTGATGTGTCAAGGTCACTTCTTGAGTCCACCTAGGAATGGTCTGCTTAAACTTTCTTTTTAAAAACGTTTTCAATTGGTGATTTAAACTTTCAATATGATCCATATTTTTTCATACAAGCTTCTGCCTCTGACCAATATGCACATGCAATGTACATGAAAAATCTAAAAAGGATAAGAAAAAAGAACAGAAAAAACACAGGCTACACTAGATTTATAACACCACATTCCCAGTTATGTGATAGATGTAGGGTACTCTGAGTGAAAGAGAGGACATGTCCTTGTCCTTAACAAGGGTCTGATTAAGAGGACACAAATTCTACTGAACAATTAGGAACTCTATCACAGCCTTGCAGATTCTACCTACAATCTCTCAAATGATTCACTCCTCACTCTACTGTCCTTTTCTAGGACAGGCCCCACTTGGACAATATCTACTCATCCTTTGGATATC